ATAAATAATTATTAAATTAATATTATATAAAATAATATTATAAAATTAAAATTATTTATATAAAAAATTATAATATTTATTAAAATATTATTACATTTATTATAAATATAATAATTATATTTAATTTTTAATATTATTTTAAACGAATAAGATAGTTTTATAATTTATAATTATGCTTATAACCGTCTTTTCCCCTCATACTGGGGCGCCAATGTACCTACATACATATACGTACTTACCTTAGGTAAATTAGGTACATTGCCTGAGTGATACTAAGCGTGAGTCATCCGTGTTATTTATTACCCTTTTTTTTTTTTTAAAGTTAAGGGGCTAGGTTGGTTGTATAATCGGTGAAAATAATATCTATCAGGACTAATATTGATGTAGGACCAATCTGGTACAATCATAACTTAGTGACGCCAATCAAGCCCTCGTTCAATATCTATTTTAACTTAGGATGACAGTGGATATTAGTATGAAGTTTAGTTATTGGTAATTATGTAAGTATGGAGATGGAAACCGGAATCGTCAGCTGTCGAGTCATGCGATTCAGCATATTTGGTATTGCTCTTACAGAAACTACCAATACCTAGGTGGTCATTATCGTTCCTCTTGTACCTCGAGTCCCTACCTCGGTCTAGGAGGTATGGGTATCACTACAACGAGGCTTCCGGTAGTTTCTGACGAGCTAATCTTAACAAACAGATCGAAATTCGACCTCGAAGTAACGGTGCAGTTCAAGTATCCCTTCAAGTTCATCATCTGGTAGAGTAAGCCATACTGAAAGCATAGTGTTTCTCCGGAACGAGTTCTCGCTCTAGAGTGAAACTCATGTGCAGGCAGTAGACCGGCTTTGACGATGCGACTAGTCACTTCAACACATGCTAGATAGGATCAATTTTACCTACGTCTCAATCTCGATGAAGGCGCCAGTTACGAAATGATAACTTCGTCGAACTAAGCATACATTTCGCTCCTCAAATCCCCTTACTTGTATGAGTCTTCTCTTCCACCTCTTTTATGTTTCACTACCTTTCCCCTTTTCCTACCGAGGCAAAGGATTAATTAGGTAGTAGAGGTCGTAGAGGTCGTAGAGGTCGTAGAGAGTATCTTTTAAAGCCCGATTGGACTGCCAATTGACTTGGAGCGACTTTGCGATTGAGTATTATTCATCCCTTATCATGCGTGTTCACAAGTATGGCATAGTCTTATAGGTAACCACACCTTTCGTTCTGTAAAGTCTTCACACATCTAGGACGACATCTGAGATATTCGAAGGGGTTATTGTATCCAGTGGGAGGCATCTCATGGGACCGTTGGCGAAATTATGAAGTATAACAGTGGAAAATGAGACTAGTAAACTTATGAGCGAATTACCATGCCTATATCATAATGAAAGGCATGTCAGTCTTACAAGCAACTGAGTTGTGCCCCTACATGCAGGAGAGAATTGCCTAGTAGTATAATGGCAACACGTTATAGCATTGTATGCTTCTGGGCAAATACCTCAGACGAGATGTCGAAGTTGGAAAGTCGTAGGTTCGAATCCTACCTAGGAACCCTCTTCTTCATCCGTTCTCCCCTAGCCTGTCTAAATTTCATTAGCCGTGTAGATGTTTGCTGCGTATATAGATAAATATACTGTCCTTTACGAATAGACCCTTTCAACTTGCCTCGTAACGTCCGGTGATGGACTGAATTAACTTGTACTAACCTTGCTGTAGGCTATGCCTCCAAGAACTTGGACTACCCGTTCATTTGACTCTGAGCTATTATGTTCTTAGAGCTTGAGCACTATGCTGGGAACGGCGTGGTCAAAAGTGCTGTCGCTCAGAGCCTAAGTCCCGTGCCTTATACGCCGTTACTCCCGATCCGTTTTTGACTTGATCGCTAATATCCCAGCCTAAGTTTCCGATCGCTATGTTGTGATCTTAGCTTGGGAGCTCGAAACTCGCAGAAGTTACGATAAACATTTGATGAATCTATGGTCCCTTCCATTAGCTACACATATAAGGTACCCATCTGAAGACTTAGTCTCATACATGGAAGTAGAAAAGGAGTCGTACCGCGATGTCTCATAAGTCAATTGCTTCACCAGGTTATTTTTCAATAAATTCCCTAGATATGCTTCTACTTATTGTGTTAAATGAGGTGTTGTTATATCTTAAGGGGAACAGGGGCTGGCAGGCTGAAGTATCGTAGCCATTCACCGACATCTACCATATACCCACCTCCCACAGTCAACAAGCCCTAGGTAGTTGTAGGCCGAGAGGTAACTAGGAACCTAGGTTTAAGACAGGGCCAGTCAAAATATGGCACTAGTTAGGTTAAGCCATTACCAGTTGAACAGCTTATAGTCTAAGTTTTGTCCTACTCCATCAGGGGGAACAAATAATGATCTGATGACAAGACGGCAAGTAGATATAGGAATCACTCAACGATGCGACCCATAAAGAATCCTAAAAAGCTTCTTGTGATGTGGTCTAATTCTGGTTCCACATTTGATATAGGATATCAGTTGAATGTTCATTGGCTTCGGGATGTATGCGTAGTTTCACGTAGGTAAGTTCCGCTACTATCAACTGGAGTACCTACCTAGTGTTTAGCATTTAGCGGAGACAACATTAGGGAGAGAGCAAAGGGATGTAATGGCCACGAAAAGACGCCCAATGGAAGTGGTAGCCCCTACGATTAGGTAATCTAGAAATGCGAAGACGGAAAGGGGGAGAGCCTTTGCCTGGTACTTAGGCGGCAAAACGCTTATGACTGTTTCGCCGTCACAGCACTAGGCTTCGCCTGCAGGCGCTCTCTTGTCATGGAGCTAACAAAACGCCCAGAGATCTATTACAGCGGTCTTGCTTGCTAGCTGCCTACCTATCTCTAAAGGTTTTAAGATTAGGTACTGAAGGCCTTCTGAGATGATGGGAACCGCCCGTTCGCTGTAGATACTCTCAATACGAATGGACCTGTGCTACGGAGGCGGTCCTCACCAATAGACTGTTGACTTCGGGAGCACAGCAAGTGCCTTGCTACAAAAGACTCGTGTGAGGAAATTATATTGAGCTCTAATTACGAATGGATATAAAGCTGATCAGGTCTCACCCCGAGAGCCACGACGGACTAGTATACGCCTGCCAGTCCTTTTAGGGGCGACTGCCGTTGTGTAGTCTTCCTATTCTTTTCGAGAGGCTTTCTCTTGCTCTGCTGCGTCTAGCTACTTCGTACTAGGTAGGTACCTATGTAGTACATCATCTCCAATGTGAGAAACGTCATAATGTCCCTCCATCTGCCTGCCATCTACATCCGGAGCATCAACTCCTACGTTGCAGTGCTAGATAGGCAAAGAGAATTGGCTGAAATGGGTGCGGAGAGCATCTCTATTCAGGTTTAACTCGCTGATTGCCCGGTCTTGCCTCTCCGTGTGTTTTCCGACAGCTGTAGTACGCATGCACCGTACAAGGGGCAACTGTTATATAACCGGCCTCTCTTATCGAAGCCACGTGCGCACGTCTAGCCCCCCTTAAAGCCCTCAACTGTATAATTGACCACTCGTTCCGTCTCGCTCAAACTCCTCGTGTCTTGTACTATCGGGAGGGATGGTATTCTCGTCGTTTGCGTGGTTTTCCGCTCGTAGCCGCGGACCTAGAATAGGATGTCAGCTGAATACCACATCCACATCTAGAACGGGCCCATTACTCTATATAGGGCTGAGGGTCCACGTTTTCGAGCGCCTACGCCGTGCGTTGGCAATATTCGTGCGGCTCAACGGCCACGCCGTGCCTCAGAGTTTAGAGTAGCCGCTTTTTAGTGCTTACTCGAGACCGCTGCCCTGGCATCGTGACACGGCGTACATCTAAAACGAACGACATTCAATCTAGATGGGGCTGTCGCACAAGTAGAGGATTGTCAGATCTAGCCTTTGTGACCTCGCCAACCGCCGTGTTGACGCTAATGAGGTCGTATATAATCCCACACACGCGTCCGCTGAGTTGTTGTCATTTTCAAATAGAATGGTCGACTCGATTTCGGTTCTTGCGGGCTATGTTAGTATGTTTCACACCACGTTGGAGTGCTCACAGATCCGATGATGTATATTGCGTACTTAGAGATCTAAGTTGACCTCTCCCGACGGACTTCTGAATCACCTTCCATGGAGACAGCTACGAGTCCTACCAGGTCAACAACTAGGCACGGGCCCCGGAACGAGTTTCCATCTCCCCGTCCCCGGCCTATGACATCCTCGTTGACCTTGCTGGTCGAGACCAGTCTGCATAGTGCAAAGACCCCTATACAAGTTTACAGGCCCGGCTCGACCTTGGAAATGATTCAAGTCAATAGGATTTGAATACATAGGAGACAGCACGCCGAGCTTCCAAGGTATGTGTGGTTGGTGCTCTATGGAGGGGGTGTCACCTTTCGTGGGCCGTCTTATCCTGAAGCGAGCCACATAGATTAACGATCTACCAACCTAGGTTTAGTCAAATCGAGTTTACTTACTAAGACGATCTGACTATACGGTCAACTCTCGCTCTAGCCCCCAAGTTACCTCCTTAATCAAGCCCCGGAGGTTTAATCATTGGAGCGCTTACGGGAAATATGGCGAGTAGGATGCGCTCCATGGTTAGAGACGGCTTGGTAATCAGACAGTCCTGCATCGAATATGCAGGTTGACTGAGGTGGCATACAGCTGAGCGCTATTGGAAGACGGAGGGTAGTCCGCTGAAGCGACGTTGACCGAGCCGTCTTGGAAAAACGACAGAAATCAACGATCCACTGGTGACGTGGGCTGGGTCTGAGGTAGGTATTCGGGATCCTTCCTTAGGTAATAACAACCATACTGACTATCTCGTGTAAACGGATGCAAGAGACGACACCTCCCTCGTCCACTCGATGCAGACTTCTCGACACCGGTCTGTATCTACTTAGGTACCTACCTACATGTACCTACATGTAAGAAGGTACTAACCTCTCCCGGTAGGGTCGGTACACCCTCTGCTGCACATACATAGGTAGGTAGGTATATGTAGTAGGTATGTGGTTACTTACCAGCCCCTGAATACCCGATAGCATTAGCCGAAAAACGTTATGTACGCACCCTAGCCCTTTAAAGCCAAGTATGTGAGTGAGTGTTCTTGAGCTCAAGCCACCCCGTATGGGTATGAGCATGGGCATGGATGATCGGTCCAGGGATTGGGTTGGGCAGTAACCGTAAGGCAGGGCATATTGTTAGTCTCCATACCTGACTGATCCTCAGCATCCAGACGTCCCCTTCTTCGACGAAACGAATGTGGAGGATTATCTGACTGACTTCTTCGTCACCATGCAAGTTACCAAACTGTTTCCCCGGAACTGGATCCTTCCAATCTCTCTATGTTAACCTGGGACGGGTCACGCGACGAAAATAGACATAGTGCAGTCTCTCATTAGACACTATTTGCTCCCAACCGCCTCTCTCGCATTCCCGCATTCCGAAGCCACGATTCCTCTTATGATCGACGCAAGCAAATATGTACCCAATACGTCTAGAGTCTCATTGGGGGAACCCGGCTGCAATGTCGCGCGCACAGTTCATGAGTTCGTAGCCGTGTCACACCGCTTTCAACCCTGCCGAGCTCCGCTTAAGAGTTCCGTTTTGTTAAACAAGAAGATCCATGGTGATCGAGATCACCCACCCATTTCTTGGGTAAGGGGATACCCTCGTTCTTCGGATACGGCCCCAAGTGTTCATCGCCACGCCTAGAACCCGCCGAGATCATTCATTACTGTTCACCGGCCGTGTTATCTCGTGGGTGGCGGGCACCGACGCTGTATATTCTCCTTATCGTGCGTTTTCGTTGACTTCGCGTCGTGGCCCCCGACGACAAGACAATGGAATTCTTGGCTCGGTCGTGGATGTGCAGGTGTCTCGAACGAATCGCGACGTTACCAGGTTGTCCTCGTCTATGGCTACGATGCAGCGGACAGGTGGAAAGGCTACGTCCCGAGGGGTTGCATCACGAGTGATAATCCGTGCATGGCAGAGAACGGCACCTTTCTCTGCAACATATGGTAGCCCGACAGGCCGTCTCGCGCTAGCGGCAACTGTCACGGCACGCAAGCCAACGCAACGCCTTGCAGAAGTACCCATACCCATACCCATATTGCAACTCCATCGCCCCCTGTCCCCGTACCTCAGATCTGAAAGGTGTGGGATGCAAAGCGCATGCTTACCAGGTAGTCGACATGTTTGAGGCGTGCTTGGCTTTCCTACTGGAGCCAGACATTTGCTAGCGGCACAGTACAGTACCCGCAGAAGGCGTTCGGCACTACCACGGCAGGGTTTAGCTGTGCTTATCCTCCCCTCCTCTCCCCCCTATCGCGCTGTCCCTATACTATACTTTCGCATTCATAGGCTATGCCAAGCTGGCCAAGGTGTAGCTATCCGAGAGCACGGCGTTCCAAATATTGGGAATCGGATTCCGCAGACAATGGGGTACATATGGCAGCACATCGTTCTTCGGGAGATCTTGGCTCTAGAAAAGCCGAGAGATCCACAGCAAAGTTCTCCGAATCCGCGAAGA